GTGATGAAATCGATGTGGAATTGTGTAAACCTGCCATAAAAGATGTTGGCATTCCATAAGAGGAATTTCTGGTTCTATTACTATCGAAACCGGGTGGTCTAGTTAGTGGAGTGGCGAAATGGGTTTGTGTCCCTGATGGTGGAACAAATCCCCCAGGATAACCAATGGTTCCAGTATTTCCTAAGATCGAACTATTAGTTGATATGCCACTTACTCCATTAGTGGCTATATTACTGGTAGAAGATGCAACAAACTGTGCATTCGAAGGGATCACGTTAGACGTTCCCATCGAAGTGGACACATTAGCGCCTGTTGTATGTGGGGCATTTTGTTCCCCTTGTTGATTGTCAGAATTAGACATCTTGTTCAAAAGTTTTCTTCTGGATAAGGGTTGATTGCTATTGGTTATTTTACCACTTCTTAGGTTCATAAAACAACAAACTTATCACTCAGAGGGTCTTTTTGTGATGGTTATGTCTCAACAATCTTTATTTCTGTTCTAAATTCTGTAACGTCCAACGATTGGTACCACCAGGTGTGCCAATTTGTTTACAGTGATTTCTGGTAAACAACCGCTAGTCCTCCAAACTATCGAATAAACTTACTGACTGTTATTCAATTTCTCTGGTAACTCGCAGGATCGACTAGATTGATCCTAGGATGTGTTGGTCATTAGAGTAACTCTCATGATCGAACAGGTATTCATGGTTGGTGTTTGGAATGTTGTGTAGGTGTTTGACTTATTTCGATTTCTCCCCTAAAGATATAAAAGTGTAATCAAAATATATGTGCACGAAACTAAATTGCATGAATAAAGGTCAATTGTAAAGACATGTAAAAACTGCATAAAAGACAAGTAAATGACTTCGAAACGTAAAAACACAGTTAATGTAAAAGATTCGAAATGTGAAGAAAGCGTTTAATGCAAGAAATCTGTAAAATGACTTTAAGTAAAAAAGGTGTTCGAAGGATAAAAACTTAAAGATAAAGGCATGAAATGTATAACAGTTTCTGAAATGTAAAGTATTTGAAATGGAAGGAAAGCATTTAAATGTAAGGCATCAGTGAAAAGATTTCGAATAAAAAGACTTTGGATGCAAAAACTTGTAAATGGTATTGACATAAAGATAAGGAAAGTACTGGAAATGATAAAGGGTTTTCATTAAATCATAAATATGTGGTGTTATCATACGTACATTGCTCTTGCATTCGTTTCCCTAGCCATGTGGTAATTTGAATGTTTATTGAGTTTTCTTGTACAATAGATATGACACACGAAATCCTAATGCTAAGACTTCTATTTATACTACTTTGACCATAACGGTCTTACTATAAGATTCTGCCACGTTCAGAACATGCAAAGCAATGCCTCTCTCTTGCTTCCACGTGTCTTCGAATGCTTCAGCGCATATATTTCAAATTTCGAACATCCCGCTTTCATTTGAATTTCAAATGTTTTTTCACTTCTTCGCTTCGAACGCACTTCTTAGACACAGCCTTGTTGTCATTTCGAGACTTCTTTGGATATATTCTCATAATTGTCACTCGAAGCTTCAAGCTCTGATATGCTTATTCGAAGCATTGCTTCTACTATTTTGAAACATGACGTTTTGTTTCATTTCGATCGAAACGTTCCATTTACTTTGCTTCTAATAATACTATCAAAATCTTCAGCCAACACCTGCAAAGCAAGATTATGTAGCATAGTTGTGGGATTTGGTTATGTGTTCTTCATGAAGATGCCTTGTAATTCAAGAATGAAAGCTCAACTTCTTCTCCTCGATTATCCTATCTTAAGCATGATCTCTTAAAGTTCTTGGACATTTTGTAAAGTTTGAAACATTGTCTACTACCTTCATGTTGACCACTTTGGTTAAATCAACTTGGAACTTGGTGAAAATTTGTCAAGAAGTTAGGTCAAAAATCTGACTAAATTTGCTAAATTTTTTACTGTGTTTTATGAAAAATGCCATGTCTTTATGAGCTTATATATTCAAATCTAAGCATTTTTTGGACATCATCCCTAAGGGTAAAAGTTATACAATTCATCAAGATCTACAACTTTCATGTTGAAAGTTTCCCTTTAATCATCTTGCATTTTGGTGAAAAATTTTCATGAAGTATTGAAATTATCAAGGTTAAAAACACTTAGAATTTTTCTAAGTCTTTGAAATCTTGACTATATGGTTGACTTTTTGACTTTCTTGATTCTTGATGATCAAGTTTGATATTTTTGAATGTCTTGATGAATTTCGATCTTTGAAATTTAATGTTGACCAAAAAGTCAAAGTTTGACTTTTTGTGTATCAGTTGACTTTTCCTTAGTTAATCAAATTTCAACTATCAATCCATTAATCTTGAGAAATGATTTGAACCATGAAATTACGTAAACATTTTGTGTTTGGGTCCTTTAGATAATGTTTCAAGCCATTAGGTCATGTACTAGATCAAAAGTCACGGATTGGTCCTTCTCAGTCAAAACCCTAATTTTGACAAATTTGCTCCTTTGATGATTTGAGTGCTTTTCTTGAGGAATTGTGATCAACCCTTGGTCAATTGATAAATATCACTTCAAAATGTTGATGTTGGCCAAAAATCATGAAGTTTCACGATATATTGACCATCGTTGACTTTTTACCCAATACAGTTGATTTTCAGTCATCTGAGCAATTGATTGAGCAAATTTGTGATGTAAGGCTTGAAACTTGGTGTAGCCGTAAAACCAATGAAGTCTCCACCGAGTATTTATTTATCCCATAAAATGGAAATGAAAATCATCAAAGAAAAACCTAAAGGGGAAATTAAGTTCTTGCGACCGAGACATTGGGTAAGGGAGTCGATTACGCAAGGGGAAGGTATTAGCACCCCACACGTCTGTAGTACTCTACGTGATCCACTCTTGTCATTCTAATAAAAGGGTGTATTCAATCTAATTCTTAATAGTTATAAGCTAAGAGGGAATGCATGCAAAGAAAACACAAGTAAAATAAGGAAATATTTACAAATTTTCGCTCGCCTGAGCCCCGTGACCAGATGCCTACGTATCCCATTTAAGGAATTAGAGCACCGTAGTTCGGCTCATATACTTTGTTTGTTTGTATATTTTAAATGAAAAATATTGAATTCAATCATTCCACCGATGCCCGATCTTTGGAGACTTATGACCTGTAGTGGAAAGGAACTAACGTGCTCTTAGAAGAGAAAAGTCGAATGGCGAAAAGAAATGGATTGGTTGGTATTTTTTACCATGAAAAGAATTTTTGTATGCTTAGAATTTTTTATACATTTTCCAAGAAAAAGAAGTTTTAGTTTTAAATGCAGTTATGCAAAAGAGGAAAGAAAAGTCTAAAGGGAGACTAACCTATCTTTAACCTAATGTTATCATACAATGATTGATCCTAAAGTTGAGCTTAAAGAGAAATCTCTACCCTAAGTTGACATGCTTGGATTTAGTCCTAATGTCTATCTCAACTTATCATCTATATATGAATCAAGAAGTCCTAAAGGATCATAGCAAGGGTCTGTCATCTCAAAACATGCACACAAAGACGAAATCAAATAAGCAGTCCAATAAGCTCAAGAGAGTACACTTAGAGAGATCCAACCTAGGTAAGCATTCCAAAGAAAGTCTAACAAACTATCCTATAGGGAACATACAATGAGAGCGAAGTCGTGCTCTCAATTTCTAAATTGAGTAACTCATCAATCAACAAGAAATAAAGGAAAGCGATAAAATCCTATAGGGAGCATGCACTGAGAGCGAAGTCGTGATCTTAATTTCTAAATTGAGTGACTCATTAATCAACAAACAAGGAAACAAACACAATCACGACACATATATCAAATGAAGTGCGGAATGTCTACTACAGGTCTTTAAATAGGGACTTCGAGCGCACGCTATTTATTTCCTACTTTTCATGATATCTAGAAAGCGATAAATACGGAAATATAACTTGGAAGCAGTATAATACCAAACTAACAATAATGTCCGCAAAAAGCACAACCAAAGCAAAGAAACCCAGAATACTTCCTACGAGCTGGAATCAACAAACAAACAGTCATAGATCGAATGCTGGGAAATTGTGTCGGAGCATCATCGATGTGAAAATAAATCATAATCAGAAATTCTAACATGTCTGCATATCTAACAATGAACCTGCATAAGACTCAACTCAACAAGCAAAGGTGAACCTGCATGATTTAATTCCTAAAATCAACTAAAAAAATCTAACAAATTTTTACTGATTTTTGTAATTTTCTTATCATAAAAAATATAGAAAAAGTAAGAGAAAAGTCCTAAATTCTACATTTTTTTTTATCCTTTCATCACTAATATTTATTGAAGAAAGTTGGAAGACAATTTAAAATAAAAGAAAAACTAAAAAAACAATTAAAAAGGGTTAGGGAGGTGGTAATACTGGGCCAAGAGGGTGTAGTATATGAAACTGAGGCACTTAGGCCCAAGGAGGCTAAGCCCAAGCGCACAATGCGAGTTCTTCTTCTTCACCCGTGAAAGGCAGCCACCATTCAACCTTCTACTTCTCTGGTCAACCAAAACGCCGTGCCACTATAACCAACAGATTCTCTCATCTTTTCTAATCCTTCAATGCGAAACAACATTGTAACTCTTTTCTCTCATCTTTTATCTCAAATAGAGCCGCAATGCTCTCTTTTCTCTACCTCAAATCCCTCAAACAGCCGTGACGGCTTCCCCTCGCCTCACCTCCTTTTCTCACATTTCTCCGATTATTCGTCCTCAATCTCTTTGTCGAATCATCAACATCACACCTCATCACCATGCCACCATTCTTTCATCTCAACTCACAAGGTTTGCTCGCAATCATATATCAGAACAATGGGCGCTTAGATGATGATAAATGAAGGTTCGAGACTTACCAATCAGAGTTCGTCTGATGCGGTTTTAACAACGATGAGGAGGAGAATACCGGAGGAAATTCTTCAGCGATTCAGGTATGCGTCTCTGTTTCTTGTTTCGAATCATGTTTTCTCGCTCATTATTCTTCTTCTTTGTGTTTGATATTGTGCTTGGTGTTATTGATCGAGGCGTTGAGGTTGTGATTATACAATGTTAATGAAGATGATGATGTGAGAATGGTGATGAAGGTTTTTAATGGGGATAGAGGTTCAATTGTAGAACACGGTCATTGTCATTGAAGTTGTTGTAGAGGAAGGGCCTGAAGATCAAAGAGAGAATGAAGGTTTTAGATTAAAGAGGGAATGAAAGGTTGAAGATGACAGAGAGAATGGAATGTTGAAAATGACAGAGAATCGAGGCTCAAGATCATTGAGATCGTAGAAAAAAGGTTCGTCCTCCAAATCCTGTTATCTCTTATGTATTAATACCTCCTTTTGTTGTGACTCCATCCCCTCCTCTGATCTTTCTGTTACTATTATGTTACATAGGTTTCAATGAGAAGCCCTTCGCCGTTAGATTTCTGATATTTGTTATGGAATGGAGGGCATAGATTAAGTGGATGAGTAATCAGTTAGGTGGTTGGAAGTTAGTTTTAACAGTTCTGTTTTGGGAATATGGTTGTTATTCTGTTAGTTTTTGTTTTAACTGTTTTTTATTACAGGGGAGCTTTTATGTATTGTACTGATGCTGCATAATTCTTGCAGGTATGGTTGAAAGTTAAACAGAGGCAGGGCGAGTTGTAACGTTTGGAACATGGCATAGCTTGGTGCACCGGGCATTCAATTGAATGGGCAGCAACAATTCTGCTTCTATCGTCACTAATTCTTAAAAGTATGTCTTGGTCTGTTCACCAATACCAATTAATTCAGATAATGTCCTTGGAAGAAACTTAAGTCCTGATTCAAGAGTTTCCCTAAAGTTCTTCTCCTTTAGCAACTGCTCATGCAACTTATCAACATCTCGCTCAAGAACCGGACTTCTCTCTTGCAAGGATTCCTTTCGTGTTTCCACATAACATTGCAGCTTTGTATTTACTTTTCCCTATGCTGCAATTTGGGTTTGCAGTTCTGTCTTAAAAGCTTCAAGCCTTTCCACTTCAGCTTTTTTTTCGTCAAGACTATCAATGGATTCCATGGAAAGGTTCTTGCTTCCAGAATTTCGCCCCAAAACAGTGCGTCGCTGGTGCATTGTTCCATTGGACACGGCCATAGATTTGTTCATACATGAAGAAGAGCTAGGAGAATTTAATCTATTCATTGTAGTTTGGTCAGGGGATAAGCCTTCAATTATATCAGTGGCCTTAATGGAGTCATTTGCAGAAGCAGTTTTATTTTGGCTTGTGAAATTTTCACAGGGCTTGTTGGACTCATCTACACAAGCACTGTTATTTTGGCTTGCAAAATCTTCACAGCTTTTGATATCTTCAGATAGAGGCAATGAGACTTCAATTGAAATTGTTGACAACCTTTGGTCGACTGCAAGATAATCACTTACTTATGAGGATTTTGAACTTGAATATTAAAGAATATGGTCCTTATCATCATATTCATCATTGACTGCAGAGTCTCCAGTCTCGTTGGTTTCACTAACAAGATCATCATCTGCATCTACATCTGACACCTCTATTGATTCATCTTGTTCATCATCATAATAATCGTCATAGGACACATCATCATCAGTGGCCTCCTCACTCTCAGATCCACTTTTTGAATCCATGTACATATCAGGGTCGGGAGATGAAGAACCTTTCTCAAATATGTTGTTATATTCTTCTAATAAGGTAATAACAATTTCTTGAGAATGGTTAGCTGCAACAGCTGCTTGTAAGAGTTGAATCGAATTATCTCCACCTACATCAAAATCATTTCAACCTCGTAATCTCCAATTAAAAGGGGGCGACAAACTAACGGTTCCGTGTATGGTTGAAGTGAGAAGAAACAGAAGTAGGATGGAAGATTATAACTAAGTTTTAGGAGGAGCTTTTTTATGAGATTTTCTTTTTAATATTGAAGTGTCATATGATATAGTGTCTTTTATTGGTAGTGAGCTTAAAATGCTTTCTTATCATGTATTTATGTAAGGATTCACATTATAAACAATCCTGACTTTTGGAAACGTTATGATATTTTAAGGTTTTAATGATGATAATCAAAGTATTCTTCATTGTTAGCAACTCGAAGGGATCATGTGAATCCGGATTGAATTTTCCTATTTTTCAAAGTGTCTTCAGGTTTCATAGGCTCGATTATCTCAAGTATCTATTCACACATAACTTTGTGAGGTAAATCCACATGACTTGATATTCCACCAATATAAGCCCTCTTGAATAGAGAAGTATCCATGAGCCTTGCTTTGGAATGAACGGATAATGATGGACTGGTACAAAATTGACTTTGAATCCATTTAAACTAGATGAATTTATTGAACAAATCTCTAAATCATTTCCAATGGGACCTTAATTCTGATCTCCAACCAGTGGTAACTTGTAATACCAACACTAGCTACTTTAAGATAACCATAATTCTTTGAATGATCCTTAGATAAGAGTTGAGGTTCGGGGAGAAAAACGACCAAGATAATTTCAATATGAACACATTAGTTCCACAAACCTCAATCTTTAGTTGAGCCATCGATTTGAGAAGCACCTAAACCACGTCAAAAGTTTGATGAAATCCAAATCCATAATTTCACAACAAAGTACATTTTGATTTGATGAAACCCTCAACCATTTAACAAATAGCATTACAAGAAATAAGTCCTTGATTCAGTCTTCTAGACTTCTTAAAAATAATTTCTATTGGGGGAAGCATTTAGGAGAAAACCCAATTATTGCTTTTTGAAAAATCTTGATGAGGATAACTTTGTATCCTGAGGAAATTTGTCAGGGAAGACGTCTATGATGCTGGAAATTCATAACCCTAATCCCGTACCAAGAATTATAAGAGCTCTAATTGAATCAACTTGAAGAATATAACAACCTTAGTCCATAGAGAAAAACCCTAATGCCAAAAGCTCTTCGTTCCTGTAACCACGAGACCAATCCTATGTATGAGATATACAGAGTATGATGAGGGATCTTAGGGGCAGAAATTGGGGTATAACAGCTGCCCTTATTTAAGTGTCTTATATCCGGAGATATGAAAGTAAAAATATTCGTTTCAACACAATTGAAGATACTTAAATACAAAACAAGCCATATTTTTGGCCCTAAGATGCCATGCGATGCTTATGATTATGAATGTAAAATATAAACTTCATGCATGTGAATAAGACACACTGGAGAAGTGAAAATAAAATCAACAGACTAATAAAAAGAAGTTGACTAGGAAAATAAATCTCTGGAGAACAACATGACTCTGGGGATAGAAATTTGAATCCATTGGAGACACGTCAACTCCACTAGGGAAATTGAAGACTCAACTTTACTGGGGTAAAGTCTACAGAAGAGACCAAACAACATCGACTCAACAAAATGAGGATAAGATTGATTGACCTATAACTCTGAATTATCCACTAATAAAGGAGATAGTAAAAAGAGAGTAACATCAAAACAGGGGATCGACAACTGTTAAACAGAAGGGCGCAAATAGAAACAGTAAATATAATACCGGCTTTTATTAAAGGTAAAGAAATAAAAGGTACACCGATGTTTACTGAAGATAGAGATATAGAGAAAATACCAACTTTTACTAAAGGTAGAGATTCAAGAATAACATCAACGTTTACTGAAAGTGAACTACCGACTTTTACTGAAGGTGGGGAGAAAAGAGAACACACCAGCTTTTACTGAAGGTGAGGTCTCAAAGAATTATTTTTTTTACCAAGATATTTCACCTAGAAAGGGTAAAAATACTAGCTATCTTAAATAAAGAGACTACCACTTCTAATGATTTCACAACAAACTTCTCTTGCGAAACTTCTTCGAAGAGATACCATTTGATAGAGAATCAAATAAACTTCCCCACGGTCCTGACCCTAAGCCATGAACTGGTCTCAGTTTCTTCTTTAACCAAGATATTTCACTTGGAAAGGGTAAAAATACAAGCTATATCAAATAAAGAGACTACCACTTGTAAATATTTCTCAACAAACTTCTCTTGCGAAACTTCCTCGAAGAGATACCATTTGATAGAGAATTAGATAAAATTCCCCTCGATCCTGACCATAAGCCATGAACTGGTCTCAATTTCTTCTTTAACCAAGGTATTTCACCTGGAAAGGGCAAAAATACAAGCTATCTCAAATAAAGAGACTACCACTTGTAAAGATTTCTCAACAAACTTCTCTTGCGAAACTTCCTCTAAGAGATACCATTTGATAGAGAGTCAGATAAACTCCCCCTTGATCCTAATCATAATCCACGAACTGGTCTCAGTTTCTTCTTTAACCAAGATATTTCACCTGGAAAGGGTAAAAATATTGCTGTAAGAATCTTTCAACAAACTGTCTTTATCATTGTAGTACAACCAAACTCTACAACAAACTATCTCCAATAATGACGAGACTACCATTCAATGGAGTAACAAATTTTCATCAATGAACTATCCCCCATAATGATGAGACTACCATTCATCGAAATATAAATCTCAACAACGAACTAACTCCAATAATGACGAGGCTACCATTCATCAGAATATAAATCTCAACAACGAACTACCTCCCATAATGACGAGGCTACCATTCATCAGAGTAAAACATCTTCTCTGGCATTAACAAACTTACTGGGAAAATACAGGTTGCTCAAATAAAGAGAACTTCCACTTTCTATTTAAGAAGGAATTATTATAAGACTGGCGGGGAATGAAGCTTGATCTCCTGGGGAAATACTAATACATTCCTGTTGAGGATAAAAAGTTCTTCCCGTGCAAAATAAATGCATATTTTCAAATCAAGGCTAGAAGCCTGCAGATTTCAGAATAATAATATTGTTGGGGACCACAGATTCAAACTAGGAGTAAATCAGAATGAAACAGTCAACCAAGACAACACCTAATAAGAAATAAACTCAAAAGGGGGATCACATTCCATCAAGATAATGAGCTGAATAGGAGAGCTAAAGAAAATATCTTCCACGCGGGATAACTCAGTAGGGAATTTAAAAGAATATACACTTTCTCTTTAGAGTTGACAAATCTATTGTAAAGAGGGTAACATAACTCTGAAAAGAGAATAATATGCCAACGACGTATCAATTAATGCAAATGGATAATGAATTTTTATTCATCTATGCATGATGTGTATGAATGTATGAATGTTATCATATATATGCTGACAAAACAACCATAATATGTCGGTGATTACCAGACAAAGCTGATTTGGGTGAAGACAACACTCGGCCTAGTCACATCCAGGATGAAGGTTCCATAAGAAAATAAGCATCTACTGAGGAAACAAAGTGATATTTCATGGCTTGACTTCACTGGGAAGAACATGGCTTAAAAACAATCAAAGCACCACCTGACTAGCAACAAATAAAGTTACGGGGATACGATAAACTCCACTCGGAGATATCATACAGACTTCGACAGGGGAATACAATGCTTCATCATATGGACTTCACCTGAAGGTTCCAACACTAACTTCACTAGGGAAGTAAAAACTACATTATCGAGACTTTAACTAGGGATGTCAATACAGACCTCACCAGGAAATATGAAAAACCACATCGTTGAGGCTTCAACTGGGGATTATTATGCTAACTTCATTGGGGGGAAAGAAACCGCACACACTAAAGAGAGTCCAAATACAGTCTTCAATATCAAGCATAATTATTGTGCAAACTTCTCTGGAGAGAAATCATGAAATTTCATGGGATAACAACTTTTAGATGGAAGCATCATCCTCGACTCATCTGGAGAATCAAGAAGTTAACATCACAGTAATATGTCAGCTCACATGGATTTTAAATCAAACTCAACGCATAGTGAGAGAAAACCCAATGAGTAAACACTTATCTTTAAACTTCTTAGAATGTATATTGCCCTTGTCCAGTTGCTTAGAAGCACACAACAATAATAATGTCATAACTGGAGGGCGTAATATCCTGTTAGAGATTCAGAATTACTTTTCAACATAGAGGGAGAAAGAATTCAACAACTAAGCACATGCTTTGTAACTTTGCAACCTCTGCTTGATCACCATTCGGTCTTGGAGAGAAATCACACTCAGTCGGAGAAATCTGAATGGTGACTTGACTGGGGAGGATAGAATTACAAACCCAACATCAAATAGATGCTTGAAGATAGTATGCACCAAGACTTAACTGGGGAAAGATGGGAATATAAACCCAAATGACACACCATATATCAGCTTGTATGAGATTCATCTATCCCAAGAAGCAATATCATAAATGGAATATGCACATATCAGCAAGTGCAACCAGGGAAATCTTTCTTGGGGAACTTTTCAAAACTTAGGAGTTCGTTCATCCTCGGAATCACCATTTTTGTTCCACTCAAATCACAACATGAGAAGCAAAAGGTAATTCGTAAATTCTTTTAAAAAATTTTTTTACTATTAAGTATTTTTGTGTTTAAAACTACTATCGATAATAAATGAAATATTTGCAAACAGAATATAGTAAGAACTACAAAGAATTGGATAAAGGCTCAAACTTTATTAATAGAATGGTAGTCTGTGAACGGCGAGACTCCATGGATGATTACAAAGTTTAAAAATGGTAAATATATGGAAAAGATACATTGAAATATAATGACCACTAT